TTTTTTGAGTTTTCGTGAATTGTGTGTTTCAGCCCGTCTGCTGTGAAGAGAATATTTTACATTCAGGTGTGTCTTGGAAGTAAATTATTTTTTTACTTCACCTTGTAATATGCTTCTGTGAGTGACCTGATGCTTTTTTTATGGTAGATGGTCACTGTGTGTATCGGAATCTTGTCGAGTTTGTTATTGGCATGAAAGTCTCACCTATTGCTCAAAGTAGTGGCGAACTGTCTGTATTGGCCCGTCATCCATCCAGTGGTAAACTTTCATTTGAAAATTTCAGTTTCTTGGGACTAGCTGATTAAATGGTTTGGATTGGAATGAGATCCTCATATATTATGGACAGTTTAACTTAATTTTTTACTTTGTTCCAGTGTAATTGAAAATGATTATGGTGTTGTATACTTGTACTGCAGGCTATTCATTCAGCCTGACATGGATAAAGAATTTACGAGGAGAAGTGGAATTGATGTACAATGTGTTGTCATTGGGTACAATCGAGAGAGTTGCACACGAGTGGATGAAGGAGACAATTATCTTCAGCACAAGTATGTGCCGCCTCTTTTTTGAGAGAGTTTCTCGGGTTATCGATCGTTGATAGTTGATTTTTTTTTTTCTTTTTTTTGCCATGTTGGCAAATGTCTTGAACATTTGTGATAGAGTCAAGCTTGAGAATTCGAAGCACTTTGTCTTCCAAGTATAACCATTTAACCAGTAGAACAGTAAAGCCTTGGGCATGAAATTTCGAAATCGGTTTGCAGTGTGTCTTGTGACTTGTGAGATTGTGCATTCTAACTTTCCTTTATGATTCAATTGTATGTAGCTTCTCGAGCTGGACAACAAACGACAATTTCTCATTTTTCAAAACGAAGCCTTTGAAGAAAACAACCATAGACTTATGGGTTTTGAGATTGGAACAAGAAAAAAATGGTGTAATAACTAATATTGAAAATGCTAAACATTAAAAAAGTATCAAAAAATGGAAATAAAGACACTAACATGTGAAAAAAGTGAACAATAATATTGTCAGGATTCTGCATTTTACGTTTAGATAAATACTTACACACATACAGTAATTGAGGTTTTAATCGTTAGATCAATATATATTTTTTACCGTTAGATCAATGTATATATGTTCAACGTTTTTTTATCGTCAGATCAATACACCACACATATCTGAGTGTTGACCCTGAAAAACTCGACAATCATCGTTGGATTAATAAATACACATGTACGGGTGTACATCAATTACTTGATGTTTTTCCTTGAGTTAATACACACATATTTAAATTGTGAATGCATGGATGGATTTTTTAACATTAAATTAATACACACTTATTTACATGTATATTAATCCAAGTAATTTACTTGCCAACTCGTAAATCATTGTTTGTGTTGTGTCTTTCGCATTATTTATATGATTATTTATATTTATTTTATTTATAAAGAAAAAAAGTAGAGGTAATAATTAGTAAATTTTTTTGACTTGGAAGAACATTGATAAATCGGAGTCGGACAGACAATAAGGCCCATTGGTCTTATTAAAGCCCAAATTTGAATTAAAAAAGAAAAAAAGTCAAAAGTGGAAACAGACGGGGGAATTAGAAAGGCGACGAAAAACACAACGCTGTTGGCCGCCGGAGCAATCGCCGCCGACGCCGGAATTGTTGAACACCGGTACGCATCACCTCCTCTGACGTAATATCAAATTTCGGCCATTAGCAGAGCATCACTTTTCGTACTTGAGCTCGCCCACGACTGTTAGTAGTGTGGTATTGTCGGCTAGGTATGATGAAAGAGAATTATTCTATCTAGGGCATCGGGCAAAAGTTTTTATCAGTATCCCAACGCGATCGAGCTGTATCTTTTTAAGCATTGGTGAATAAGTTTCTTTTTGATTGAGATATGAATTCTTAATTTGATTTCGTTTTGGGTTAATTGGCTGCTAATATGCAACCGGGATCATCTCGTGAAGCTTGATTGGGATTTCTTTTGTTTGTTGTGATGCATATTAGATAGCCTCTGTACACATTCTTAAAATAAAAAAATGTCGGGTTGTTCGACTCCTGCGTGTGATGATGTTCAAGAAAAAAATCACCAAGATGTCCTTTCTGAGAACAAAGAAGGAGATATTAATGAAAGTGAGAACGTTCCTGAAGAAGAGGATGAGGATGAAGATGCCGACTTTAATCCGTTTCTGAAAGAAAGTAATTCTGTGGAGGCATCTTCGAGCCTGAGTTCGGAAGTAGAAGACTTGGATACTGATGCTGCTGATAGTAAGGAAAAATCTTGTATGCTGGTTGACAAGGAAACTGTGGAAAGTCGTGGAGAAAGTGTGAAAGAGACGCAAATGAGTGGAAATATTGATCATGGTGAAGAAATTGTGCCGCAAACGGCTGATCCTTCCAGAGAGGTGTGCTGTACAGATGTAGATAAAGATTCAGTTTTGATTACTAAATCTGAAACTAGGATTCCATGTGAGAAGGAAAATGAGCCAAATAGCACGATGGATGATAGCATTGCTACAAATTCGAAGAAACTGGTGGTGGATGATGTGGATGCCGATGGTGCTATATGTATGCGGACTAGGGCCCGTTATTCTCTTGCGAGCTTCACGCTTGATGAACTCGAAACTTTCCTTCAAGAATCTGATGACGAGGATGACCTTCAAAATGCTGATGATGAAGAGGAATACAGGAAATTTCTCGCTGGTGTTTTGCGAGGCGATGATTGCCAGAACTTACTGGAGAATGTAAATGCCGATGAAGAAGATGAAAATGATGCCGACTTTGAACTCGAACTTGAGGAGGCATTGGAAATGGAAAGTGAACCAGAAGAAGTTGAACAGAGACGAATTACCAGGCTAAGTAGAGGCAAAAAAGTGTCTAAATCAACCAGCAAGTTGCATTCAGGGAAGTTGAATAGGCCATTGCGGCCCATCTTACCATGTGGGCCCGTTGGGTCTTTTCCGCCGTTTGATGGGAAACACCTTGTGCCCAACATACCTCCAGCAGCTTACACGACACCTGTAAATAACAGCATTCCCATTGGATTCACCCCGCATCAGATCGGGCAGTTGCATTGTTTGATTCACGAGCATGTGCAGCTTCTTATTCAGGTATTTGCTCTCAGTGTTCTTGAGCCTGTTAAAGGAAATGTTGCTACTGAAGTAAAGAAATTAATTGGAGAGATGCTTCAGAAACGTGATCAAGTATTGGCATGGAGATCAGCTCCACAACCGAGCTATTGCTTTTTCCCTCATCCTTCAGTGTCAAACAAGGTTCAGAAAATGATACCACCTAGGGATGGCAATGAAAATTTGCATCAGAATATGAGTATATTCAATGATATGGCTGGAAGTTCTCCTAATCCTGAATGTACCTCATGGATGCCTTACGTATGTGGTCCGCTGCTGTCTGTTATGGATGTAGCTCCTCTCAGATTAGTTGAAAACTTTATGGATGATGTTTCTTCTGGTATGTCATGGTGAAGTAATGTTTTGTTGTTTGCTTCTTGTTCTTAAATGTGTGCTTATGTCTGTCATAATGTTTGACAGCCGTCCGAGCACATGAAAGATATCAGATCGAGTTTGGTCCTGAGCTCTCCTGTCAAAAGATACCATTGTTTCCTATTCATAATTTTCGGTGTTCTGCTGACTCTGATGATCAAGGAGAAATGGAAAGCAACCCCTCAGCTTCTGGAGGGACTCTTCACACTTCACCAGGCAATCAGGCCAAGAAGACAATGGCCGCAGCCTTGCTCGAGAAAGCCAAGGATCGTCCAGTTGCCCTGGTTCAAAAGGATATTGCAAAATTAGCTCAGAGGTTTTTGCCGTTATTCAACCCAGCCCTATACCCTCACAAGCCACCTCCTCCTGCTGTTGCAAATCGGGTGCTTTTTACCAATTCAGAGGATGAGTGAGTTGTTTGCTTTCTTTTTTCTTATGTTTCATCTCACAATGGGAACATTTATATTTCTAATTGATATTTTTGTTAAAATGAATCTATACTGCTGTATAGATAACTATCAGTTATATGTGAAAACACATCTATATCAGCATGGTTTTCTATAATTTTTTCATTGAACTGACAAGCTGGTCTGCCATTGACTCAAAAAAGAGGATTATTATATTTGGCAAAGCTTTTGATGTTCATCATTTTTCAATCATGTTGAAATGGTTAATTTTCAGCTGTTAGCTTACTTTAGACACTTGAAGTGAACTAAACAAGTATGGGACGAAACGAAGGAGAGTAGTAATAGAATGTGTCATATTAAATCTGTTGACTTCTGTCATCCCGCAGTTTTTTTTTTTTTTTTTTACGCCTATCTTTTTTTCTAAACTCGGGACTTCTCATAGATTACTAGCATTGGGGTTGTTGGAATATAATAACGACTGGAAGGCTATACAGCAGCGATTTCTTCCTTGCAAATCTAGGCATCAGGTGAGGTTCTTTTCACTCTATTTTTCCCCTTGTGTGTGTGTCGGGCAGGGGTATGTGAGTGCCTAAGAATCTTCTCGACAGAAGATATAGTTTGCAGATTGTTATTTAATTCATTAGATTCAGTGGAATGATGCTAGAGTTTTGTAATGAATATGGTGACATTTTTCCTTGAAGATGAATACACTTTCCTCGTTATTTTGAGAAGTGATTTGGCATAAGCACTGTAATACAGATATTTGTGAGGCAGAAGAATCAATCATCTTCAAAAGCTCTAGACAACCCAATCAAGGTATGTGGTCATTTCTCTTTGTGCAGAAATTATGCCCTCCGCATATTGAAAGTAGCAACAATATTTTCTTTTGTAGGCTGTGCGAAGGATGAAGAACGCCCCTTTGACCTCTGAAGAGACGATACTTATTGACGTGGTATGTTCTAGTGCTCTTAGAGCCACTCATATATTGCTGAGTTTTATGAGAATATTCTAATGCTCTTAAAGTGACTCATATATTGCTGACTTTTATGAGAATATTTTTTTCTCTCACATTTTTTGTTTGAATGGTTCAGGGCTTGAAAAAGTATAAACTTGACTGGATATCAATATGGAGATATTTCGTTCCTTATAGAGATCCTTCCTTGCTTCCTAGGCAGTGGCGCATTGCCTGCGGCACACAAAAGTCTTATATATCTGATGCGAACAAGAAAGAAAAGCGGCGTTTAAACGATTTAAGAAAAAGAGTTAGCAAACCTTCTCCTCCAACTAGGCGTTCATCATCTGAAAAGGAGGTTAGCATATTTTTTATTTTTTATTTTTTTTTCGTTTATGATTGTTGTTCTATCCTCTATTATTTCAGACTTGCTCTTGAGCTATTTACGCTGTTAACCACACGACTTTATGGTTGTAGACATGTTTGTAGATAACTGAGTTTGTATACATCTTCATACATATGTTGCTTTTTTCTTGTCAAAATAGATTTGCTTTCAACACTATTTATTCTTAAAAACTTTCTCATGAAATTGGCCATTAGTAATTCCATTTCCCTATTTAAGGCTTTTACTTACTGAAAACAATTCATTCGCAGGGCGACAGCTCTGACGATGCAGTTGATGAAACTAATCACATCGACAAGGGAGATGAAGCTTATGTTCACGAGGCATTTTTGGCAGATTGGGGCCCGGGTGATAGCAATATCTCTTCAAGTATTCCCTCCTGCATGCCGCCATCTCATGAGGGTTCTATCCGAGCCCAAACTCAATTCAAGTCTGTTGCTGTTCCAAGGTAAGCCTTGTCTCGTGTCACGTCTTGTGATTTTTCTGGGCAGTTTTAATCTCTCATTTTTCCTACTCTCACTTCCAATCCAGTTCTCAGATTCGCCTGCGGCCCTATCGAACTCGTAGGCCAAATAACACACGCCTTGTGAAATTAGCCCCTGATTTGCCTCCCGTAAATCTACCCTCTTCCGTCCGTATTATATCTCAGTCGGCTTTCAGAAGCTCTCAACCCAGTACTTCCTCAAACATTAGTGGTCCTGGAACTCTGACGGGCCCCTCAGCAAAATCCGGGTCGAGTTCGAACAACCCTGTTATTAATATTACTGCTAACAGTTGGCCACCCAATCAATATCGAGTCCCGGATTTTCAGATGCATCCTCTGTTATTCCAGGCGCCTCAAGATGGCCGTTTGCCTTACTATCCCATGAACTGCAGTACTAGCACGCCCGGTTCTTTCGCTTTCTTCCCGGGAAATCAACCACAGCTGAGTCTCAGTCTTTTTCACAATCCGCGCCATATTAAAGATGCTGTGAACTTTCTCAGCAAATCATCTAAGTCTCCAGAAAAAAATCTTTCATCATCATCTGGTGTTGTTGAGTTCCATCCACTTTTGCAAAGAACTGATGATGTGGACACTCGGTCGGGAGTTGCGTGTCCTTCTCCTGTGGAGTCGAGGCCTCAAAAACACGATACACTGCAAAATCGTTCTGCCTTCAAAAGCAGAAAGGTTAACAAGCTGGACTTGGACATTCATTCGAGTTTTCTGTCCAAGAACCAAAAAACTTCTGAAGAGGTTGATTTGACTGCAGCTGCACGTGGTGGTATTGGATCTGAAAGTGTGAAAGATTGTGGGAGGGAGAGAGAGTCTAATCGAGATGAGACGAGGGATGAGCTGGACTCGGATGATGTTCCAGGGGTTTTGTCAAAAAATAAAGGAAGTGGGAAATTTTTGGATGCTGTGGGTGATGAGTCGCTTCCTGGGATTGTTATGGAGCAGGAAGAGTTAAGTGATTCCGAGGAGGAATTCGGTGAAAATGTGGAATTCGAGCGTGAGGAGATGGATGATTCGGAGGGAGACAGTATGTCTGAAGCTGAACAAATGGTGAACTCACCGAATGACTTAATTACATATATATAAATTACATATATATATATATATGTGTGTGTGTGTGTGTGTGTGTGTGTGTGTCATCTCTTGGCTTAGTGATGTCTATTCGTTACTAGCTTAGATCTAAAAAGTGCTTCTAGTTATATAGTCAGATTCTCTGTTGCTGCTTTTCCTTGTTTGCCTATAGGGATAATCACAAAAACTATCCCAAATGTTTGGCCTTTCAAAATTACAAATATCCCGTGAGGGTGCAATGTGCAAAAGAAAACAAAAAATGAAGGAGCTTTTTGCATTGTTGATAATTGTTTTTTGTGGTAATCACACTAAACCTCAGCAGTAGTTTTCATGAGTGATTCTAACGTAAATCATATTATTTGTTATGCTGCTGCACAAGCATTTTCTTTTGAAGCTCTCTTCTAAGGTTCTACAATTCATGCAATTGAGTATCTTATTTTGTTTGATTTATTCATTTCTTGAACATCAACAAGTACTCCTTTGCAACTACTTTTTCTGAGGTATTTTAAACATTTTCAGGAATTGCTGTCAGATGAAATGAATGCAGATACTCATAATATCCGGGCTCCAAATTCTGACAATCGATACGGAGGCAATTTGTGCAGCACATCAGGTGGGCCTGGAATAGAATCGGCTGGGAAAGGGGTTAAAGCTAAGCCCAATAATGCATCGTCATTTAATCTAAATTCGTGCCCTCCTGTTTCTCCCCTTTCGAATACTGAGAATGCTGTGGGTGGATATGATTTTGGGCCGTTTGAGACAGTGTTTGACCGGAGTCAAAAACTTACAGCCAGTTCCAAAGTGTCTAGATTGCGTGCAAAGCAGGATACAGGTCGTGTGCAGGGCTCAAGTGATACTGCTGTACCGAGAAATAAACCAAGGAAGCGCGTTTGTAGATCGAAGTCTAATTTGAACTTGGCTGGATCTGAAAACGGAAATGCTAACCTCAAAACTGATACATCTGTAGAAAAATTGAAAGATGTTGGTACAGAGAAATTTACTTAGCCAATTTGGTCATCTGTAAATGTAGTCTTGTTCTACTTCATTGTGAAAAAAAAAAAAAAAAAGAAAGTTAACTGATGATTGATTCCTGCTAATGTTACTTCCTTGCAAAATTGGTTCCTTGTTGCATGGTATGCTCTCCTTAAGGAACATTACAAAGGCTTCTAGTGAACTTTTTTAGCCTTAGAAGACAAATAAGCATTTTACATTGTCAACTACATAGAAATCTACTAATGAAAGTTGGCAAAACTCCAAGATGAACCGTAGTTTGATGACTGTGCAAAATACATTTTTTTCCAGGGCTCAAAATCAGCTCAATAAGCACTTCCAAGAAACAAAATAAGGTATAATTAGTTGGAGCAAATATGAAGGCATTTTTTTGGCTTAAAGCTCAATAAACGATTCGTTACGCTAGAACAAATCTATGAATAAAAATTTCAAACAATTCCACTCCACCCAAATCCATCTCGGGTGTTATTTAAAATGAAGTTTCAGCTTTTATAATCAATATTGTAATCTGCATATCGGGATCATATCAGAGACTTCACTGGCCAGAAAAACCTCCCCTTCTGGCCATCATCTCTTGAGCCCGGTCCTTTTTCAGTTGCTCCACAATCTGAAGGGTCTGGGGATTTTTGAACCGGTCTCGAACAAACTTCCGCTCCTCGGCTTGAATCTCCTTGACAGCACTTGGATATGGGTTCGGAGGGGGGCTTTTCCCCTGAAGCTTTGAGATTTGCTTCAAACGAGCATATGCCTTCTTTTTGGCTTTTCTTTCAGCACGATATTCCATCTAGTACAAAAGATAGATGTAAAAAGCTGGGGAAAAATGTCTCGGATAGTTATATATACATAGTTTGGATTTTATATGTCCACATTGTTCTTTTTAAGGAGAAAGAGTTGGAATAAAAATACAAGACTACGTACATCTGCCACCGCCAGAGCTTCCTCCTCACCAGTGCCCTGCTCCTTTAATTCAAGCACTCTCCACGCAAATACACGGGCTGCAGGTGGATTAAAACCGGATATCCTGTTGAAAAGTGTACACGTGAAATGTGTTAGAGATAAAATATGATTAAAAAGCTTGAGTATTTGATATGAAAGCATTTCACAATGGTCTGAGTCTCTGAGAAAAGGGAATGTGCTTGGTACCTTAGATATTTTCAAATCTCATTTGTTTGCATTTTCTTTTCATATATATATATATATTTTTTTTTCCCATTAACTCTAGTTCGCTGAAATGAAAGCCAGAGATTTGGAAATAGAGTTAAAAAAAAAAATGAAAACAAGCAGAACAGTTAAGTCTTGTGCTTAAAAGAAATAAACAGAAGCACTAAACAACACATTATATTTTTTGGCTTTTATCTAAGATAGAATTGGCTCGAACAACATCGTGTTCGATAAGAACGAACATGGAAACTTGGCAAAGACTTGTACAAAACTTTTACAACTTTACAGTAATGCAGATAAAGAATACCACAATCTCAGCAAAACATCTTTCCCCAACTAAATGCCTCAAAAATCACGATGTTTGCCACAACACTGTTGGTTTTCATTTTCAACAACTGTTTCCACATTCCCAATTCATTTTCTTTTGAACTACGTGGGACACTTGTCTAAATGGCTGTCTCCGAAAAGCCTTACAAGATTAAGAGATCATATTAAAGACACTGAAAAGGACAAATGATGTCAAAAGCATGAACCTCGGCAGTTCTTACCAGATGTTGGTTCCTACTTAAAGTACAATCCCAGTTAGCAAGTGTTTTCATACCAATTTCATATGACACATATAAGAAGTTAAACTACATTGAATCTAGTCGTTGATGCAAATACGATATGCTCAAATCACCAAACCGCGCTACCACTTGAAATTCGATCCACCCGATTTTCCACCAAGTATCAATGCAAAAAAGTAGGAAGCCCAGTCAATATTTTATCATCATCCTCTCTTCTACCCTTTGTTTGTAAAATCAAGAATAAACATTTAACCGAAAACACAGACTTCAGGTGCATTCGAATCGCAAAAAACGGATCAAGCAACATACTTGATAGCATCTTGAAACCTAGAATCCGGATGCTTTTGGAAAAACTTGTTCACGTAAGCATCCTCCGGCAAACTAATCTGCTTGAGCTTACTCTCCGCGCGTGGAAATGTAGCAGGCGGCGCCCTGATTAACATAAGTTCAGCCATGGCTCTTTTGCCAAATGCCAACACAACTATTCCAGTAAATAACTAAAGAAACAAATTAAAAGGACAAACAACGTACTTTTCCATGGCTTTTAGCCATAAAGGCTCGGCTTTAGCAAACCCTTTAACGAGCTTTCGAGTTTTCGTGAGCAAATCTCCCCTCATATACGACATCGTTCACCTCGGATTCAAATCCTGCCAATCAAGAATTAAAAGGGTAAAGAAAAATTCAAGAAATTTAACAGACAGCTGAATCAAAATTCGATTTTAACCGTCGAAGGCTAATCGGAAGAACAAGAAGAAATGAGTCGATGACAAAGATCATACGTACGTACTGAAATTCAATTGAACCAAAGCTAGCTAGCAGGATAGAGGAGCGTGAACAGTGAAAACTGAGTAGCATTATCCTTTGGGCCAGATATCCATTAAAAATTTGGGTCTTAAAGAAATTGGGCCTAAAACTGAAATTTGTCGACGTAGCCCAACTTGGAGAGGAAATAAACGGGTACGAAATCGGGTCGACTTTATGAAGGAATTGGGTCATCCACTGCTTCTCCCTCTCTTCTTCACTTTCTCCAGTTTCACCGTTTACTGTGCGAATTATTCTACTGCTTGCACCACCGCCATCGCCGCCGTCCCTTCTTCCGCCGGCCACCGTGTGCCGCTTTTAGAGGGCCTTCAATGCTATGGATAAAAGACTGGCGGTTAGTTGTTCCACATACCTGAAAATCCTCAAGACTGGATTTTTAATTTATGGGTACTTGCCTTTTCCTAAAAAAACCCCCATTCTCTATAAAATTTGGGATACCAAGTCGGTTGAGTTTGTTTAGTAGACGGGTGGCTGTAGAAAACTGTAGCTTTTTGTGCAATATGTACAGTCGTGTTTCTGCAGCTCCCTTGTCGGATGATTCGGACTGCTCCACTTCAAATTGTGAGAGCAGTTCAGACAGTGAACACATTATTTTAAGAGAGTATGATAGAGAAGCTAGGGGCACTGAGCTTTTCTGTGCTGTTGTTAGAGTCGTGAAGTCTCTGAATTGGGAGGTTGCAAGAAAAGTACGTTTTTCTGATGCCGTCCAGAAGTACGGTTTTGATCAATCATTCGTAGGATTTAAGATGTTTGTTCATGTGTATGCGTGTGCCGGCATGCAATCGGAAGTGTATGCATTGCTTAGGGAGGTGGTGTGTTTTTGCCATAAGGCTGAGCTTGATTTGTTCTATTTATCTTATGCTCTATTGGATTCTCCTAGTGGTAGACAAGGGATGAGTTTTTTGGTGAGTGTGCTCATCAAGGTTTTTGCTTCAAATGGGTTACTTGAAAATTCCATGGATGCTTTTGCACAGGCTAGGAGAGTCGGCTGTGAACCGGGAATACGCTCGTGCAATTTCTTGCTAAAATGCTTGGCAGAAGCCAATGAAAAGGAGATCCTTGTTTGTTTATTTGAAGAAATGAAGAAACATGGACCATTTCCTAATGTATACACGTATACAATTATGATGAATTTTTACTGCAGTGGGCATTCTAGTGAAGTTGAAATTGAGCAAGCAACTAACATTCTTGAGGAAATGGAGAGAAAAGGAATTGGCGCATCTGTCGTGACATATAATGCGTTCATTAGTGGACTGTGCAAGGTAGGGGTTATTGAGCTTGCTTGGAAATTCATTCAAGATTTGAAACACGGTGGTCAGCTGCTCAACTCTTACTGCTATAATGCAGTTATTCATGGTTTTGTGAATAGAGGTGAAACTGAAAAATCCATGCAAGTTTTCGAGGAAATGAAAAATAGTGGAATCGAGGCAGATGTATATAGCTACAGTATTTTGATCGAGGGTGTTTGCAGACATGGAGAAGTTCAGGAAGGTTTTCGGTTGCTTGAAGAAATGAAAGAGAATAATATTAAACCGTCTCTTGTCACCTATAGCTCGATTTTAAAAGGTCTCTCTCGCAGTGGATTGATGGATATCTCATTAGACATGTTCCATGATATTCGAAGTTCGGGATTTGAATACGATCAACATGCTTACAGCATTTTGATTAGTGGGTTTTGTGCTCAGGGTGATATGGACTCAGCTAACACACTTTTAGAAGAGATGATTAGCAACAGTTTGGTTCCTGATGCGGTTAGTTATAGGAATTTGATTCTTGGGTTCTGTAAAATCGGCTCCTTTGGGAAAGCCTTTGCGTATTTTGACCGAATGAGAGAAGCAGGGTTATCGTCCAGCTCTTTTACGTGCAATCATATAATTAATGGATACTGCAAAGAAGGAAAATTAGAGAAAGCATGGCAGCTTGTCGATGAAATGAGGGGCTCGGGGATCTCTCCAAACATGCACACGTTTAGTGTTGTTATAAATAGCCTGTGTAAAGAACGTAAATCGGGAAAGGCTCTCGAGATTATTCCAGTTATGCTTAAATGCAACACATTCCCTGGTGTTGTTATTTATGCCAACCTCATGGATGGGTTTTGTAAGCAGGCAGACCCAGAAAAGGCTCATATGTTGTATAAAAAAATGTTGAAAGCCGGGATTCGTCCCGATAAAGTTAGTTTGACTATTCTTATTAACGTTTTGTGTAGAGTGGGGAAATTGGAAGAGGCATATAAGATGTTCGAAGAATTTATCTCTGAAGGTTTAGAGCCCGATAAAATCTTGTACACATCGATGATAGCTGGATTTTGTCGGGGCAGGGACATGAGAACAGCGTGCAGGCTGTTTGAAGAGATGTCAGAAAGAAACATTTTGCCTTCAGTTGTCACTTATACTTGCCTGATTGACGGGTTTTGCATGGTTAATCATATGGAAGAGGCCTGCGTAATGTTTAATAGAATCATTCAGGAAAATTTGTCTCCTGATCAGCTTACCTATTTGGTTATGATTCGTGGGTTCAGCAAACGTGGGGATACAGATAAAGTTGAGCAGCTTTTGAATGAAATGAAAAATTTAGGCCCGCTTCCAGATGAAAGTACCTTGAGAAAATTTGTGAAAGTAGAAATTTGTGATTGAACATTTAATCATCTTGGCATTGTTATGTGATTGATTAGCGGGAAGGCAGGAAAGCAAGAACTTGCGGTACGTCTCAGATGTCAAGAGGTTCATTGTATTAACTGTGTATTTTTCTTTTCTTTTTTTTTTCCAAGTGTCGCCCTTTGAATTAGATTTGCTGTACTCTCCTCTTCATGATTTTGACAGCATGTTGAAAGTGTTTCTCTAACAAAAATGTGTAAAAACACCTACTCTGCTTCATTGGCATTCGCGTGAAATTGGGCACTTTTATGATAAGGGAGGTATATTTGCTATATTCCTTAGTGCCTTCTTTTTTCTTACTAGCTTTGTTTTCTTTCAGGAAAAATTGAGAAAGTTGGGAAGAGAAGTAATCGTGGTGCACTAATAATGGGTTATGGACGACACAAATTTTGTGGTTCGATCTTCCTGGCAAATTTTTACGGGCAAATCACAAAAGCCTGTGACATTTTATCTGAAAGAAACAATCAAGCTGATGAAATTTCGAGTCCTTGAAAACAAGGTCTTACCCTCTTCATGTTTGAAGGCTTTCTAACTTTCTCCAAAGATTTTATCTTTCTTTCTTATATGTTAAGTGAATATTACAGTGCAATACATGTCGAAGTAACAGCCATGCCCTCAAAGCACTGGAGGAAGTTCGAGTATCAAGAATGATGTCATTTCATCTAAAAGCGGGAATATAATTTGACCATAATCTCATGCAGGGAACAAATGTAATACCAGAAATACAACTTCTTGTTTGATATAATTCATATTGGATTTCATCTTCATCAACTCGAATGTGAATTGATTGTTTTTTCATTCTTTTTCAGCCCAAAGGAGCTGTGTAATCAAAGGGGAATGGTGTAATGAACCTGTCACACTTGAGTTATCAAGTTGGACAAGACAAGTGGCCTCGTGGGAGTTGACAGGCTACCCAACAACGGGCCTCAAATTTTCTGGGGCCCGGATCCGCTTCAAATCCAGATCCATTTTGTGACCCGTTTGCAAAGCTTGAGCAAATTAAAGTCGATTCTATAAAAATTGGCTGGCGTTTGATGTGTGAATTGTTGTGAAGCAATATATTTGTGGTTGAAAAACAATTAGTTGTTTTGACATATTCAGTAAAACATGTAGTAAGATTTAATTGTACACTATTTTTGAACCTCCAAATGTTTGTTGGAATATTTCATATTTCTCGAATTATTATTGGGCTAATGTCTAGTTCTATTTAAATTGCGCATTATTTTTTTTTTCTTTTTCTCGAATTATTGGTGGTTTGATGGCCATATTTTTTTTTTTTTTATTTTTTTTTGGTACAATTTGATGGCCATATTTGATTAATTTCAATTGTTGAGACCAAAAAAATAGGAATTTTGTTGGGTTTGACCTAAAAATAATAATGCATCGAGCAGCTCCCAACCTAAAAAATATATGTCTACAAAATACAAAAATGTTCTACAATGTTCTACAGTTTTCAATTTGTAATGTTCAAACACCTAAACAAAACAAATTCTCATTAAAGTTATAAAAAAAATCAATATTACAGATTTTTCTATTCGAAGAGAAAATTGACTTTAATTTGGTGAGAATGTATTAAAGAGCACATTTTTCTATCTGTGCTGGCTCTCTCTCTCTCTCTCTCCCCGAAACAAATAGATATACCCGACCCGATAAATCTCTCTCTCTCTCTCCGTACAAAATCCATGTCGTCGGCGGGTAATTCGGACGGCGGAGCCGCAGCCGTCGCGTGTCAATACTACTGCTACAAGTGCGAACGCCACGTCGCCGTCGTGCCCCCGTCCTCCCCCACCGCCGACGTCGTCTGCCCCAACTGCGGAGGCGGATTTCTGGAAGAATCCGACCCGGAAACCGCTGCCCCGATCCCCGAAAACCCAATCCCTAACCTCTTCTTCGCCGACGCTTTCCCGGCCTCCTCCCCCTTCGGCGGCTTCCCGATCGCCTTCTCCTCCTCCTCCTCCTCTCCCGGAGCCAACGCGTTCTCCTTCTCGTCTGGAGGCGGCGGAGGAGGATTCGAGGATCTGTCGGCGCTCTTCGGTGGTCGATCCCCCGACGAGTTCAACCCTTTCTCCTTCCTCAACAACTACATCAACGGCCTCCAGTCTAGGGGAGCTAATATCCAGGTCGTATTCGAGGGCCCCGGAGGCGCCGCCGCTGGGATGGGCGGCGGAGGTATCGATTTCCGGCTGCCGATGAATTTCGGGGATTATTTCATCGGCCCCGGTTTGGAGCAATTGATCCAGCAGCTGGCGGAGAACGACCCGAATCGGTACGGGACGCCGCCTGCTTCAAAGAGGGCAGTCGAGGGGCTTCCGGATATAAGCATCACGCAGGAAATGCTGGCTTCAGATTCTTCTCAATGCGCAGTGTGTAAAGATAGCTTCGAGTTGAAGGAGGTGGCAAAACAGATGCCCTGCAAGCATATCTATCACAAAGATTGCATCTTGCCCTGGCTTGAGCTGCACAATTCGTGCCCGGTTTGTAGGTATGAGCTTCCTACTGATGATCCAGATTACGAGAGTCGAAGAACAGGGCAAAATAGTGGCAATGGTAATAGGAATAGGCGTAATGATAATAATAGCAACAACAATCAAGAAAATAGGGGTAATGATAATAATAACAACAACAATAGTAACAGCAGTCCTCAGACACCAAGGACTACAGAAAGGGGTTTTAGAATATCATTGCCTTGGATTTTTAGAGGTTTGGGCTCACAAGCTGGGACAAGCAATAATGGGGGAGGAGGAAATGGGAATAATGGTGGAGGTAATAATAACAATAGCACGAACAGTGATAGGGGAGGATCGAGTACTGGTCAGGGTAGAGGAGGTCAAGCGAGAGAGGAGGACCTCGACTGAAGTATCTTGTTGCAGTTTAATGTTACATCTCTATTTATTTCTTTTTTTTTATGTTTTTCTTCTTTATTTGTGATTGAGATGATTTAATGCTCGAATCGTGACGTTGTGTGAACATTTAATGCAATGCTTGGTTTATTATTTGTTTTCACGGGACGAGATGGTTGTTTATTGTGATTTCTTGAAGTATAAGTTCATTTTTCAGTTTCAAATCAGAAGATTTATGGGTTTAGTTGTAAACATATTGGCCAATACATTGAAGAAATTTCTTTTATCCGACTTGCCAGTCTGTTCTGTAACATTTGTGGCCGAGAAATGTGTTCTTTGAATCACTGATGAGCCTTGAGCAGACAAGGAAATTGGTATATTCAAATTATCATTGTTGCTAATTGTTAAATGTAATGCGATGTGGGATATGTTTTCCTGCCCAGGTTGCTGTAGTCTTGCAGTTGTGTCATTCTCTATTGCCAGCTACAAAAGAGAGATTCTGGTAATAATTTAGCTATGTTTATGTATGTATATATGATGCGAGCTTGGAGATAATGATTCTATGGGACATATAATCTCTTCATTATACCATAGGCATAGGATAACAGTTGACTTAGAAGCAGCTGGATTATAATCGACTGCTCTTTTTAGAATTGATCTTCCGCCAGAATCCTATGATATGTTGGGAATCTCTTATGACTGCATATTTTTTTTAAACCTTGTCTCTGTACTTGAACTCTTGGATATATTAGCATTCAGTACATTATATGTTGCTAACATTGATTTTTTTTCTTGCTGTTATTCGCTTTATTATGGTGAGACTTTTCAATGGAATATCGATGAATTGCATAATGCATTACATTTGCACCTCCTTTGATGATGTTATCCTTAAAATCCGTGTTGTACGAGTATTGTACGGCATAATTTCAAATGTGGAAAAGAGTTTTTTTTTTTTTTACTAAGATCATGCTCTGCTTCACTTGTCTGGATTTGAGATTTCGAGTGCTCCATTTCTTGTGTCCAAGTTCTGGTTTTCATGCTCTAGTGTTTCATACACGAGCGATTTACAACTTACTATCAATGCTTGAGGGCCTTGGCTTTGAAACCTGCTTAGCAACTCTGATTAGTATCTGTATGTAATATAATATGTAGCTCTTAGGTGTGCTTGCAACTTTGCATTCAGTGTAATGTCCAAACCTGCTGCTTGCTACTTTCGTATGCATTATTTATTGTAAGCTATTACACCGATTAGACAAACCAATTTGTTATTAACTAATCAAAATCAATTCTCTTGAAACACAAATGTTTCAACAACAAAAGATATTAAAGTCATGACTGCTATCTTATTGTAAAATGTTAATGCCCTCTGGTCCAGAATCTGAACACACAGCGCATTTATCGAACTTCTTTTTGTTAACATTAACGAGGCAAAAGGCACAACTACAAAATCTCTCGAAAAACAACCAGACAAGTTCCGTATTAAATTTCACAACAGAAAATCCAAAAAGGTCTTCAAATAACCCTATCCATAAGAGACTTAGCACTACAGTAACACCTATTGTCCCGCCGCAAGAGTGTGAGTGTGGATCATCAGTTCACCACCTATTGTTTGGCGGCTTCACCTTGTAAATCCTCACGATCCAGTTTGATGTCGTGAAAGCCTCCTCCAAATGTTCCAATTTTATGTCTTTATTTCCAATTTCGACCCCCCGTGCCCTGTCATATCTGTCAGGGCCAACAACATTGCATTAGATAAGATGCTTTTAGGCCACAATTAATGAAACATAAAATCAATGGAAAAGCGAGAAGAATCTGTGCAATCAAGTTCACAGAACCATCTCGAAAATGCACATGGTTTGACAGTATTGTCTAATAAACAATATGTAGGCATTCAAACAAAATTTAATTGCAGACCGATGTTCTACCTCGAGACTGAATGCATATAACTATGTATGGACAATTTCGAAACATGGAGGCATTAATTGTGCTTTTCTCCCCAAAAAAAAAAAAAAAAAAAAAAAAAAAAAAAAAAAAGGGAAATGAAGTATATTCAGTATTATACCATTTTTAACAAAAGAAATGGAAAATCAACCTAGATCCATGCTTCAAGGAACATAACCCACAAGGTGAACTCTATTAGAAGGTAAAAGAAAAATGGTAGAAAGGACGTGAGGGATGAATATAAGCAGCAAAATAACTCACCCAGGAGGTTTTCCATATTCTGTCGTCAGTTCACCAAATCGGTAGTAAGATAGTTTGTACCTATTCACAAAGTCAAGAGAAACATTTAATGCTATATCACTGAATGAGGGGACATTTTGTGTGTACCAACAAATTCAATATACACCACAAGTGATAAAATCATAACAGTAGTGAATCAAACTAGTCAGTAGAGAAACTTTATATATGCGAGCAATGTAGACCGAAATGCAACAAAGATAACACATGTATCGGGTAGAGCATATGTTTGAGCATTTCGCCTTAGCGCCAAAGCGAACCTTCAAATGGAACAAATCAACTATCAATCACAAACATAAATGGATTACTTTCATAATGGCTTAGCTAACACATGAGATCTCCTAGTTTGACTAGCATGAGGTCTTTCAGTTACAATACTTTTGCTCTATCTGCATGAAGTCTTAGGTAGATAGGAGCACGACTCCAAGAGACCACTATAATGTTAATGATAGTATATAGACAAATAAGAAAAACCTAATATACGGTTCCAGAAAGATAGAATACGAGATTGCAATCTTGCGACTTGAAAATAATAAATGACCAAAGGTTTTAACATACTGATAAGTCCACGCAGCCAGATAATACTCAGGTAAGTGTTTTTCCATTAGTAATTGTGCTGAAAGCATTAAAATTAGTCGAAAACGCTTTAAAATGTAAGATGCCACTACTAAGAAACATTGGCCTAAACAAGTTTGCAAGTGGCAGTGTTCAGCAAGCAAAGAAAATCAACTTACATTAAACAGTTCAACATCTTTGGAGCGGCGCCTTTGTCGATGCGGTACTCTCCATTGACAAGATAGTCAGGTTCTTTAATTACAGGGAAAACTCCACCTCCAATTCTCACCATCCACAAAAATCTGACATAGAAGGATTGCATATTTTTGTGAGTAAATGTAAGTAATCAATAATATAATTTCTTAGAAAATGACAAATTACGGAAGTGCAACTTATGCGTTTATACATGCA